ACACCGCTAGGGCCACCGCCGGACGGACGGACGGGAGAGAATCATTTGTCTCGATTTCGCCCTAGCAACGGCGGGTTCATTCCTCTCGCGCGCCCACGCAGCTTCGCCTCGCCCGCACGCACGACACGAACCCGAAACCGAAACCGATTTCCCGTTGGGGGGCTCTCCGTTCCACTGCGATCTCACCCCCCAACCTCCGATACAGGTTTAGAGAGAGAGAGAGAGAGAGTTCAGTCGGACGCGTCCCTTTACAGGAGGGGCATTCCAAAATATTGAAACATGGTCTAGAGATTACTTTTCCATTATTTTTGAATACCTATACGACCACCCTTCGGGTGATAAGGAGGTTGTGGGGGGGGAGGGGGGCACCAACATCTGACTCAATCGATCTCACTATCGATCTCACTCAACGGGACACCACGGGACACCTCGGGACACCACATCGATCTCATTATCGATCTCCTTCAACGCGACACCACGGGACACCACGGGACACCTGTCGATCTCACTATCGATCTCACTGTTTGGGACACCACGGGACACCTCGGGGCACCACATCGATGTCAGTATCGATGTTCATTATCGATCTCACTATCGATCTCACTCAACGGGACACCACGGGACACCACGCGACATTTGACGATCTCACGATCGATCTCACTCAACGGGAGACCACGGGACACTACGGGACACCTGTCGGTTCCACTATCGGTCTCACTATCGATCTCACTTTTCGGGACACCACAGGACACGTCGGGGCACCACGTCGATCTCACCATGGATCTCACTATCGATCTCACTCAACGGGAGACCACGGGACACCACGGGACATTTGTCGATCTCACCATCGATCTCACTCAACGGGACACCACGGGACACCACGGGCCACCACGGGACACAGCGGGACACCGCTAGGGCCACCGCCGGACGGAGGATAATCAGTTGTCTTGACTTCGCCCTAGCAACGGCGGACACCACAGGACACCACGGGACACCGCTAAGGCCACCGCTAGGGCCACCGCCGGACGGGGGATAATCATTTGTCTCGATTTCGCCCTAGCTACGGCGGACACCACGGGACACCACGGGACACCGCGGGACACCGCTAGGGCCACCGCCGGACGGACGGGGGAGAATCATTTGTCTCGATTTCGCCCTAGCAACGGCGGGTTCAGTTCTCTCGCGCGCCCACACGCACGACACGAACGAAACGAAACGATTTCCCAGTTGGGGGTCTCCGTTCCACTGCGATCTCACCCCCCACCCTCCGACTCTTGAGTAGTTTTCCCGGAAAGGGCGCGGGCCCAGGGCTCTCTTTTAGTAGGTTAACCCCCCGGCCCCCCTGCGACTTGGGCCGACGAAATTATTTTGCGATAAATTACGTGCGGGAGTAGGGCCGGCGGAATTATTCCCGGAAAGGGCAGAGGCCCAGGGTTCTCTTTTAGTTTGTAAACAAGTCCCCCGGTGCCTGCTTGAAGGAGGCCGGCGAATTTTTTCCCTGATAAATAACGAGGTCGAAGGAGGCCGGCGAATTTTTCCGTGATAAATAACGAGCCCGCGAATTAAAATTTGAGGATGTCTCGAGCGAAACGCTTGTTTTTGAGCGCCCGCGAATTAAAATTTGAGGATGTCTCGAGCGAAACGCTTGTTTTTGAGGCCGGCGAATTAAAATTTGAGGATGTCTCGAGCGAAACGTTTGTTTTGCACTCCCCAGCACGACATCCCAGCACGACCACATCCCAGCAGGACCCCAGCACGACCACACCCCAGCACGACCACGCCCCAGCACGACCACACCCCAGCACGACCACACCCCAGCACGACCCCACCCCAGCACGACCCCACCCTAGCACGACCACACCCCAGCACGATCACACCCCAGAACGACCACACCCCAGCACGACCCCACCCCAGCACGACCCCACCCCAGCACGACCACACCCCAGCACGACCACACCCCAGCAGGACCCCACCCCAGCACGACCCCACCCCAGCACGGCCCCACCCCAGCAAGACCACACCCCAGCACGACCACACTCCAGCACGACCTCACCACAGCACGACCACTCCCCAGCACGATCACGCCCCAGCACGACCACGCCCCAGCACGACCACTCCCCAGCACGACCACCTCCCAGCACGACCACCCCCCCAGCACGACCACCCCCCAGCACGACCACCCCCCCAGCACGACCACACCCCAGCACGACCACACCCCAGCACGACCACGCCCCAGCACGACCCCACCCCAGCACGACCCCACCCCAGCACGACCACACCCCAGCACGATCACACCCCAGAACGACCACACCCCAGCACGACCCCACCCAAGCACGACCCCACCCCAGCACGACCACACCCCAGCACGACCACACCCCAGCAGGACCCCACCCCAGCACGACCCCACCCCAGCACGGCCCCACCCCAGCAAGACCACACCCCAGCACGACCACACCCAGCACGACCTCACCACAGCACGACCACGCCCCAGCACGACCACGCCCCAGCACGACCACTCCCCAGCACGACCACCTCCCAGCACGACCACCCCCCAGCACGACCACCCTCCCAGCACGACCACCCCCCAGCACGACACCCCAGCACGACCACAACCCCAGCACGACCACACCCCAGCACGACCCCACCCAGCACGACCCAACACTAGCACGACCACACCCCAGCACGATCACACCCCAGAACGACCACACCCCAGCACGACCCCACCCAAGCACGACCCCACCCCAGCACGACCACACCCCAGCACGACCACACCCCAGCAGGACCCCACCCCAGCACGACCCCACCCCAGCACGGCCCCACCCCAGCAAGACCACACCCCAGCACGACCACACTCCAGCACGACCTCACCACAGCACGACCACTCCCCAGCACGATCACGCCCCAGCACGACCACGCCCCAGCACGACCACCCCCCAGCACGACCACCCCCCAGCACGACCACCCCCCAGCACGACCACCCCCCAGCACGACCACCCCCCAGCACGACCACACCCCAGCACGACCACACCCCAGCACGACCACACCCAGTCGCACCCCCGTGGAATGTTTCGTGGGGTGTCTGTTCGTGGGGTGTCTCGTGGAATGTTTCGCGGGGTGTCTCGTGGAATGTTTCGCGAGGTGTCTCGTGGAATGTTTCGCGAGGTGTCTCGTGGGATGTTTCGCGGGGTGTCTCGTGGGATGTTTTGTGAGATGTCGCCCAGTTGGGTATCGTGAAAACGTGACCATGCTGCGCATGTCTATATCCCTTTCCGGGTTCGTGGGTCCATCATGTTTTTGAGGATGTCTCGAGCGAAACGCTTGTTTTTCAGAATTTGTTGAGGATGTCTCGAGCGAGACGCTGGTTTTGCAGAGTTGGGGATGTCTCGAGCGAAACGCTTGGTTTCAGAATTTGTTGAGGATGTCTCGAGCGACACGCTGGTTTTGCAGAGCCGACCGCGACACGGAAAAGCGCCCCTCGCGCAGGAATTCCAAGGATGTCTCGCGCGTGCCGCGTCCCGCGCGCGGGTATTTGGATTTCTCGGGATTTTGACAGGATGTCTCGAGCGAAACGCTTGTTTTTCATAATTTGTTGAGGATGTCTCGAGCGAAACGCTGGTTTTGCAAAATTGGAGGATGTCTCGAGCGGTGGCCTCGTGGGGGGCCAGAATTCAAAGGATGTCTCAGGCGAAATGCTTGTTTTCACGTCCCGCTCGCAGGAATTCCGAGGATGTCTCGCGCGTGCAGCGTCCCGCGCGTAGGAATTCAGATTATTTTGACAGGATGTCTCGAGCGAAACGCTTGTCCCCAGCACGTTCCGTAGCGCGTCCCCTTGGCACCTCCCGCGGTGCGTCCCCATGGCACGTCCCTTGGCACGTCGCTTGGCGCGTCCCTTGAGACGTTCTGCGTCGCGTCCTCCTGGCATGTTCCCCTGTCCATTAGCTCTGGGGCAGCTACTATGTGTTCAGGCAGCTCGAGCTTAAGATCCAGATCAGTTCGGTCAGGACTCGGATGCAAAGGAGGACTCGATCCACGAGGCTATAGAGCACAATCGCGCCATGGCACATCGCAATTCAGCACGGCGCAGCACAGCACTGATTTCGGCACGGTACATCAAGGTCGATACACTCAGCATTGCAACTTGGCACGTTCCTTGGCACGTTCCGTGGGGCGTCCTTTGGCGAGTCCCCCTGGCACGTCGCGTGGCGCGTCCCCTGGCACATCCCGTGGCACATCCATTGGCACGTTCCGTAGCGCGTCCCCTTGGCACGTCCCGCGGTGCGACCCCATGGCACGTCCCCTGGCACGTCGCCTGGCGCATCCCTTGGGACGTTTCGCGGCGCGTCCTCCTGGCATGTTCCCCTGTCCATTAGCTCTGGGGCAGCTACTATGTGTTCAGGCAGCTCGAGCTTAAGATCCAGATCAGTTCGGTCAGGACTCGGATGCAAAGGAGGACTCGATCCACGAGGCTATAGAGCACAGTCGCGCCATGGCACATCGCAATTCAGCACGGCGCAGCACAGCACAGCCCTCGGCAGGGTACATCAAGATCGATACCTTCAGTATTGCATTTGCCCGTCACCCAATCAGGTGTCTTTGAAAACGCTGCCATGTGTTACAGTTCTACATTCCTTTCCGGGTTCGTGGGTCGATCATGTTCGACTCCAGGATGGCCTCCAAGATGGCTCAAGATAGCCGACGATGGTTCAAGATAGCTTCCGACATACCTCCAAGAGGCCCGACGAGGGCCACAACACGATTCCCAGTGTTCTCGGAACACCCTCAGGACCCCCCCAATAGGACAACATCCTTCAAGCACCTGAGGACAATCGATGATTTGTGCCTTCTCGCCGGTTCGCTTCCGACGCGCTTTTGAGGCCCCAAGATGGCCCCAAGATGGCCCAAGAGAGGTCCGAGAGGGACCCAATATGCCACCAATGCGGCCCCAAAAGCGCCCAAGAGCGGCCCAAGATCGCCCCAAGAGAGCCCCAAGATCGCCGTAGCCATGTTGGATCAAGTTGGCTGCTCATTTGCGCTGTAGCACCATGCCGCCTCAGGTATTCGCTGTCGGCCGCAACAACGATGAATTGTCGCGATGCTCGAGCTGCAATTCGCAACGTGTTGAAGCCAGAGGCATTCAGGAGATTCGCGCATGGATCCCCTGGGGACGGTGATTGGTCGCAGCACCGCTTGACTTGTGGTCAGCATGCGGGCAGGACGTACTCCGAAGTTGCAGCAGACCAAACCGCGTACTGCAATTGGGTTCTGGATGTTGTTCGTAATGACGTGCAAAGCCCGCTTCGGGACTTCGCAGATTTTCTCCAGCACTTTCACGGCTCTGTTCGGCCACGTGGTGCGGCACCATTGCAGACAACATGCCAAGGTGTTCAAATGATTCCGAAAGTCGGTTTTGGGAAGCACCGGGGCCAGGCGTACGTGAGTGTCATGCAGGACTACCCTGACTATTGCAAGTGGGTGGTCGCAAATACTACTAGCAGCTCTTGTGTCGCAATGCAGCAATTCAGTCGGTTTTTGATATCAGAAAGAGCTTCAAATGGGCAACGACATCAGAGGACAAGAAGCCCTCATAAAGAGCACCAGCTACACTTGGAGCTTGACCGCGATGCTTACATGAATCAATTACGAACGACGGTGTCCGCAAGCAGGGGTGGGAAAGAAGTGGTCACATCATTTCTTCGTAGCGTGTGCGACACTCCTTGTTTCGCACAGCTCCGGCCTTACCACTTGACGCAAACTGTGTTCGCGGCAGCGAAGGTGTTGGTAAGTTGTACTGAAAGAGACATATTCAACAGTTTGTCTAGGGTTGTGTTGAAGAAGAAAGAATTGAATCGCTTCGCTCATTCCGCCGGCCCGTATTGTGCCATCGCGGGGTCTTGGGGGGTCTTGGGGGCCTTTGGAAGCTTCGTGGGAGCTTCTTGGGAACTTTGGGAGGCCTCGTGGATGGCTCTGGGTGGGCCCTCTTGGTGGTCTCTTGGGGGGGTCTGCCTGGCCTCTTGGGAGCCTCCTGGGAGCTTCCTGGGGGTCTCTTGGGGGTCTCTTGGGGCTTTCTTGCGGCCTGTTGGGGGCCTCTTGGGGCTCTCTTGGGGGCTTCGCCTGGTGCTACTTGGGGGCTTGTAGGGGCATTTCGGGGGCGTGTTTGGGCGGGAGGCTCAAAATTTCCGTTCAGGTTGCCCCTGTGGACCTCAATCATGGGGCCGTTTTGGGGCCTCTTGGACCGTCTTGAGGGTTTCTTGGGCCTTCTTGGAGCGCTGTTGGGCCGTCTTTGAGCGGTCTAGAGGGTCTCTCGGGCCGTCTTGGGGCGATCTTTGGGGCCTCTTGGACCGCCTTGAGAGGTGTGAAAGACGAAGAGGCGGATATGTGAAAAATGCACGCTTTCCTAAGGGAATGAGACGATTTTTCCCGGAAAGGGCGCGGGCCCAGGGTTCTCTTTTTCTATGTAAACATGTCCCCGGTGCCCAACTTGAAGGAGGCCGGCGAAATTTTTCCCTGATAAATATCGAGGTCGAAGGAGGCCGGCGAAATTATTTTTGAGGATGTCTCGAGCGAAACGCTTGTTTTTGAAATCCCGATCGATAAATCACAGGGTGCGGGCCACTTTTTCGTGTGTTGAGGATGTCTCGAGCGAAACGCTTGCTCCGCAGAGTTTGCCGAGGATGTCTCGAGCGAAACGCTTGTTTTGCAGAGCCGACCGCGACGCGGAAAAGCGCCCCGCGCGAAGGAATTTCGATGATGTCTCGACTAATTCGTTTGTTTTTGTACGATTTCCTGGAATTTTGGCAGGATGTCTCGAGCGAAATGCACGACCCCACCCTAGCACGACCTTACCCCAGCACGACCACACCCCAGCACGACCAGACCCCAGCACGACCCCACCCCAGCACGACCCCACCCCAGCACGACCATACCCCAGCACGACCACACCCCAGCACGACCCGACCCCAGCACGACCCTACCCCAGCAAGACCACACCCCAGCACGACCACACCCCAGCACGACCTCACCACAGCACGACCACACCCCAGCACGACCACGCCCCAGCACGACCACGCCCCAGCACGACCACGCCCCAGCACGACCACCCCCAGCACGACCACACCCCAGCACGACCACGCCCCAGCACGACCACGCCCCCAGCACGACCACACCCCAGCACGACCACACCCCAGCACGACCACACCCCAGCACGACCACTCCCCAGCACGACCACACCCCAGCACGACCACACCCCAGCACGACCACACCCAGTCGCACCCCCGTGGAATGTTTCGTGGCGTGTCTGGTTGAGTGGTTGCCTGTTCGTGGGGTGTCTCGTGGAATGTTTCACGGGGTGTCTCGTGGAATGTTTCGTGAGGTGTCTCGTGGAATGTTTCGTGAGGTGCCTCGTGGGATGTTTCGCGGGGTGTCTCGTGGGATGTTTCGTGAGATGTCGCCCAGTTGGGTATCGTGAAAACGTGACCATGCTGCACATGTCTTTATCCCTTTCCGGGTTCGTGGGTCCATCATGTTGGTTGTGGGAGCCCTCTTGGGACGCCGCTTAGGGACCTTTTGGGGCGTCTTGAAGGCCTGTTGGGCCGTCTTGAGGCCATCGTAGGCGTTTGGGGGTGATATTTCGGCGTCTCCCGGCTCTCTTGGACCGTCTGGAGGGCTTCTCGGGCCCCTCTTGGACCGATTTGGAGCCCTCCTGGGCTCCGAAAAAAGAGTTCTTGAGGGTTTCTTGGGCCTTCTTGGAGGGTTCTTGGGCCGTCTTTGAGCGGTCTAGAGGGTCTCTCGGGCCGTCTTGGGGTGATCTTGGAGGCCTCTTGGACCGCCATGAAAGGTGTGAAAGATGAAGAGCGGATATGTTAAACATGCACGTTTTCCTAAGGGAATGGGACGATTTTTGCTAGTGGGAGCCCTCTTGGGACGCCGCTTAAGGACCTCTTAGGGACCTCTTGGGGCGTCTTGAAGGCCTGTTGGGCCGTCTTGAGGCCATCGCAGGCGCTTGGGAGTGATATGTCGGCGTCTCCCGGCTCTCTTGGACCGTCTGGAGGGCTTCTCGGGCCCCTCTTGGACCGATTTGGAGCCTTCCTGGGCTCCGAAAAAGAGTTCTTGAGGGTTTTTTGGGCCTTCTTGGAGCGCTCGGCCGTCTTTGAGCGGTCTAGAGGGTCTCTCGGGCCGTCTTGGGGTGATCTTGGGGGCCTCTTGGACCGCCTTGAAAGGTGTGAAAGACGAAGAGGCGGATATGTTAAAAATGCGCGTTTTCCTATGGGAATGGGACGATTTTCCCGGAAAGGGCGCGGGCCCAGGGTTCTCTTTTCCCGGAAAGGGCGCGGGCCCAGGGTTCTCTTTTAGTAGGTTAACCCCCCGGCCCCCCTGCGACTTGGGCCGGCGAAATTATTTTGCGAGCGGGCACGCACGGAGTAGGGCCGGCGAAATTATGTTTGAGGATGTCTCGAGCGAAACGCTTGTTTTTCAGAATTGGTTGAGGATGTCTCGAGCGAGACGCTGGTTTTGCAGAGTTGGGGATGTCTCGAGCGAAACGCTTGGTTTCAGAATTTGTTGAGGATGTCTCGAGCGACACGCTGGTTTTGCAGAGCCGACCGCGACACGGAAAAGCGCTCCTCGCGCAGGAATTCCAAGGATGTCTCGCGCGTGCCGCGTCCCGCGCGCGGGTATTTGGATTTCTTGGGATTGTGACAGGATGTCTCGAGCGAAACGCTTGTTTTTTCATAATTTGTTGAGGATGTCCTCGCTCGAACGCTGGTTTTGCCAAATTGAGCTGTCTCTCGAGCGGTGGCCTCGTGGGGGGCCAGAATTCAAAGGATGTCTCAGGCGAAATGCTTGTTTTCACGTCCCGCTCGCAGGAATTCCGAGGATGTCTCGCGCGTGCAGCGTCCCGCGCGTAGGAATTCAGATGATTTTCTCGGAAAGGGCGCGGGCCCAGGGTTCTCTTTTAGTAGGTTAACCCCCCGGCCCCCCTGCGACTTGGGCCGGCGAAGTTATTTTGCGATGAATTACGTGCGGGAGTAGGGCCGGCGGAATTTTTTCCCGGAAAGGGCAGAGGCCCAGGGTTCTCTTTTAGTTTGTAAACAAGTCCCCCGGTGCCTGCTTGAAGGAGGCCGGCGAATTTTTTCCCTGATACATAACGAGCCGGCGAATTGCCGGCGAATTTTTTCCCTGATAAATAACGAGCCGGCGAATTGCCGGCGAATTTTTTCCATGATAAATAACGAGCCGGCGAATTAAAATTTGAGGATGTCTCGAGCGAAACGCTTGTTTTTCAGAAAATGGTGAGGATGTCTCGAGCGAAACGCTTGTTTTGTGTTATAGATTGTCCTCTCCTGGGGACCTGAATTCTGAGGACCACCTCACAGCACGACCACCCCCCCAGCACGACCACCCCCCAGCACGACCACCCCCCAGCACGACCACACCCCAGCACGACCACTCCCCAGCACGACCACACCCCAGCACGACCCCACCCCAGCACGACCCCACCCTAGCACGACCACACCCCAGCACGATCACACCCCAGAACGACCCCACCCCAGCACGACCCCACCCAAGCACGACCCCACCCCAGCACGACCACACCCCAGCACGACCACACCCCAGCAGGACCCCACCCCAGCACGACCCCACCCCAGCACGGCCCCACCCCAGCAAGACCACACCCCAGCACGACCACACTCCAGAGCGACCTCACCACAGCACGACCACTCCCCAGCACGATCACGCCCCAGCACGACCACGCCCCAGCACGACCACTCCCCAGCACGACCACCTCCCAGCACGACCACCCCCCCAGCACGACCACCCCCCAGCACGACCACCCCCCAGCACGACCACACCCCAGCACGACCACTCCCCAGCACGACCACACCCCCAGCACGACCACACCCCAGCACGACCACCCCCCAGCACGACCACCC